GCGTGGGCACTGCGCTCGGAGAAGAGATCGCGGAGGCATCGCCCGCATCGCATCGCCACCATCGCCATCATCGCGGTTGTCCTCCTTTGTCCCCCCCCCCCATACAACCTGCTTCTCGCCCAGAAGGCGGCCCTGCAGAAACTTGGCTGTAGAGGTCCGCCAGGGGGTTCGCCCAGTGGGCGCCCGTGACCGCACCGCGCGCCGCCTGCGTCCGCCGACGTCTCTGAAGGGGCCCCAAGACACACAAATAAATACACACAAATAAAAATATTCCCCATATTTTCCCATATGTTCCGGGTTTCTGTCTTCCCCCCCACTTCCCATATTTCCCCACATTTCTGGGGAATCGAGGATTAATTGTGTCTGTGTGTTTTTTCCCCTCCTGAGTCTCGCCTGCTGGGCCACCGCGCGCGTCTCGTGGATGCCCCGCGCGCGCGCGCGCTGGGCGGAGCCGCCGAGGCTCCGCCGCGGGGTGTCCCGTGGCCGCCTCGCCCGGATCGGCCGAGGCTCCACCCGGTGGGCACTCGTCGGCGCCTCGCGGGCGCCGGGCGCGCTGGCTGGCCCCATCGAGGCGTCGCCTGGTTAGAGGAAAGAGAACTATGCACATGCACCGATTCTGGCCAGGACCACCCTGAGCCCAGGATCGGTGCATACGCCCTCCTACCTTGGCCAGGAAGGCATATGCACCGATCCTGGGTCAAGGATCGGCCTTGCCAGGATCGGTGCATGTGCATAATTCTCTTCGCCCGACCGTGGGCCCTCGCGTGCGGTCCACTGCAGAGTGCGCCACGTCGCCTGCGCCTGACAGGCTGCACCGCGTGCAGGGCACCTCTTGGTGCGCACAGCAGCTCGCACCGAATATATTGCACCGCATGGAAATGTATGCATGATCTCATCGTTGTTTTTCATACTGAATCCCTGCATATTTGGTACATGATCCGCACGCGGAGCATGTATTGAAAACGGCACTGTAGGTTGCACAACTGAGACTGCACTGCAAGTGCGACGCACGCATCCAGGATGCAATAACGCACGGCTTGCGGCCTCTGCCAGCAAACAGTCTGACAGCGGCAGCAGTCTAGATCACAGTGGCTACGACGGAATATTCAAGCATTGCGCGCTCATTGTCTTCTAACTCCTTGGACCTGAAAGGCCGTGAGGCCCTGCAAACTGATCTCTGCAATGAAACCCAAAGATCCGATGTCGTGTTTTTTTCAATACGGGGTCCCTGGAAGTCTCGACCCATTCCCCAAGACCAGATTTTCATCCTGAATCATTTTTTTCAGCCCGGAGAGGGCCCCTAGAGGCCAAAACCAGCGAAAAAACGGCATCTTGATTTGTTCAATGCGTTGGATCTCTGGGGAGGGATCTGGCGGCTGTGATGGTAAGTAAATACATGTCAGAAGAGCCGCCACCGTGCCTGCGGCACTTTGGGGCGCGGGAGGATGCCCAGGGCTACCTGGCAAGATTTCTGTAGTCCTCCAAAAGACCCCCACACCCCCCCCGGCTTAGCTTTCCCAACTGCATCGCCCCTATTACCCGGGGGACCGTGGGCGGTCATAGCGCCTCCCAGGGGCTCTCCAAGGCTTCCGTGACTGCCCAGGAGGCCCCCAAGATGGTCGAAAGGGGCCCCGAGTCGCCGAACGATCGCTCGAGGACGCGTGAGATGGCTTCCAAATGGCCCAAGAGGCCTAATTACAAGACGCCCCAAGAGGCCTCCAAGAGGCATCCCAAGAGGGCCCCAAGAGGCATCCCAAGAGGGCCCCGAGAGGCAGAAATAATTTACTTTGGAAGGGTTTAGGCGTTCTCGCCTCTTCGGCTTTCCGACGCTCCAAGACGGCCCAAGAGGCCCCCTAAGACCACCCCAAAACGGCCCAAGAGGCTTCCACGAGGGCCCCAAGACGGCCTTGGAGCGGCCCAAGAGGGCTCAAGAGGCGCCCAAGACGACCCAAGACGGCCCCCAAAGTGGCCCAAGAGATGGAACACAAACCAAAATCCGAGCCTTCCGCCCCGAGAAGCCCAAGGAGGCCCCAAGGGGCGCCAGAGGCCCCAAGGGGCGCCAGAGGCCCAAAAGAGGCCCCATAACGGCCCCCAAGAGGCCTCAAAACTGCCTCCAAGAGGCTCCCGAGAGGCCTCCCAAGAGATCCCCACGAACATCCAAGTGGCCCCATACCCACAACACAGGCACGGTGGCGGGACTTGCCGTGGGCAGCTGGATCCGCCGCCCCTGTCGATTCATCACAAGGGTGCCTGGCGTGCTAGATCCTCTCGGTTTTGGTTCTTTTCCAAAAAGACTCCCCCTGGGCCTCCGGCGCGTCCCGCCGGGGTCCCGGAAAGATCTTCCAGACCTGGTTGCAAAGGGTTTTTCCTGCTCCAGACGGCTCCAAGACGGCCCAAGATGGTCTCCAAGATCGCCCAAGACGGCCAAGATGGCCTCCAAGACGGCTAAGATGGCCCCAAAATGCCTCCAAGACGGCCCAAGATGCACCCAAGACAGCCTAAGATAGCCTTCAGATGACCCAAGACGGCCCAAGAGCCCCCTAAGAGGTCTCCAAGACAGCCCAAGGGGCCTCCAAGAGGTCCTCCGAAGGCCCGAGGCCAAAATCATTGATTTTCCTATGTTTTTGAAGGATTTGGGCATTTTCGACTTTTCGGCCTTCCGACGGCCCAAGAGGGCCCCAAGATCGCCCCAAGATCGCCCAACAGGTCTCTCAGACGGAACCATGACGGCCCAAGAGACCTCCAAGATGCCCCCAAGAGGGCCCCAAGACAGCCCACGAGGCCTCCAAGACGCCCAAGATGGCCTCCAAGACGGCTAAGATGGCCCCAAGATGCCCCCAAGACGGCCCAAGAAGCACCCAAGACGGCCTGAGATGGCCTCCAAATGGCCTACGACGGCCCAAGAGGCTCCCAAGAGGCCTCCAAGACGGCCCAAAAGGCCTCGAAGAGGTCCTCCAGGAAGGCCCGAAGATGCCAAAATCATTGATTCCGACGGCACCAGACGGCCCCAAGATCGCCCACGACGCCTCCAAGATGGCCCCATGACGGCCCAAGAGGCCCCCAAGACGGCCCTAAGTGGGCCCAAGAGGCCTCCAAGACGGCCAAAATGGCCTCCAAGACGGCTAAGATGGCCCCAAGATGCGGCCAAAGATGCACCCAAGACGGCCTAAGATGGTCTCAAGATGGCCTCAAGATGGCCCAAGACGGCCCAAGAGGCCCCCAAGAGGCCTCCAAGGCGGCCCAAAAGGCGTCCAGGAGGTCGTCCAGGAGGGTACGAAGAGGCCAAAATCATTGATTGTCCTAAGGTTGTTGAAAGATGTTTGCATTTGCTTCTTCTCGGCATTCCGACGGCTCAAGACGGCGCAAGAGGCCCCCAAGATCGCCCAAGAGGCCTCCAAGATGGCCCCATGACGGCCCAAGAGGCCCCCACGACGGCCCCAAGAGGGCCCCAAAACGGCCCAACTAAGGTTTCTGGAGGGTTTGGGCATGTGTTTCTGTTCGACCTTCCGACGCCCCGAGACGCCCAAGAGCCCCCAAAAATCGCCCAAAGATCACCTAAGAGGCCTCCAAGATGGTCCCAGAACGGCCCAAGGGGCCCCCAGGACGGCCCCAAGAGGCCCCCAAGACGGCCCAGGAGGCCTTTAAGACGCCTAAGATAGCCTCCAAGACGGCCCTGGAGCATTCCAAGAGGGCCCAAGTCGGCCCAGAGAGGCCCCCCAAACGGCTTCCGACGGAGTCAGACAGGCCAGGAGCCCACCAAGACGGCCGAAGATGGTCCTAAGATGGCCCAAGACGGCCTTTCCCATGAGTTGTTGAAGGATTGTTGCATTGTCTATTTTTCTGCCTTCCGACGGCCCGAGACGGCCCAAGTGTCCTCAAAGGTCGCCCATGAAGCCCAAGACGGCCCCAAGAGGCCCCCAAGACGACCCAAGAAGTCTCCAAGACGCTCAAGATGGCCTCCAAGACGGCCCAAGAGCCCTCCAAGACGTCCTCCAAGAAGGGCCGAAAGAGTCAAAATGGCCTCCAGACGGCCAAGATGACCTTCAAGATGCCAACGTGTTCCCCGAAGGCTTTCCAAACCGATTCAGGGAACACATGGTCCGATAGCTTGGCAGGTCTGGCCTCAACGTTCGGCCACATAGGCGCGTCCCCAAAAGGCAGGGGGCGGCGGTGATTCGCCGTAGGCGTCTACGATATACTCCTCGTCCACATCATCGGACACCCGTGGCTACCTCCAAGTACGCCGTAACGCTCCCCGTCCACCTCATCAGCCTCCTCCGCCACTACCCCTAAGGACGCCGTGAGGCTCCTCGTCCTCGTCCTCCTCGTCCTCCTCCTCCTCATCTTCGTACTCGTCCTCGTCCTGGTCCTCGTCCTGGTCCTCCTCCTCCTCGTCCTCCTCCTCGTCCTCGTCCTCCTCCTCCTCCTCGTCGTCCTCCTCCTCCTCCGCCTCCTCCTCCTCTGGTGGGGGGCAAGCACCCAAAGTCTGGCGTGACCCTGGCTGGGGGTAGACAAAAGCACTGGCTGGGCTCCTCCTCCCAGGGTAGAGCTGTGTCTGTGAGCAGACGCTGCCTCTTTTTGGCTCGCTCCCCCTCTCACACCCTCCGGCCCCTCCCGCTCCTCCCGCACTAGGGGGAAAACAAACCTACCTCGCTTTTGACCACCCTCGCTTCCAAGAGATACCAAACGATGCCAAATTGCAGCCCGTACTAGTCAGGCCGCTTGACGAGGAGGCGCGTGGTATGACTTGGTTTTGCCTGGAAGCGAAAGCGGGGTAGGTAATTCACGCTCTGAACATATACGGAAATGGTAAATAAGCAAAAAATCGTCCCCAGACTATTTGTTGCACTATGTTTGAATTTCCCTCCCGTTGAGGCACAGGCCCGACTTCAGCACCCGAGCGGCGCGGATTTTGAAGGAAGAATTAAGAACAGCCGAACAAAGAAGATTCGAAAACGATCGAAAACACGCAAAAACACGCAAAACACGGGTAGGTATTTCACGCTCTGACGCGCGTCCTCCCCGCCTCGAGAGGTCTGCCGCGAAAGGCGAGAGGCGCCGGGCGCGCTCGTTTCGGACCGCAGCGAGGGCGGGAGCGCCCTGTCAGGCCGGGGAGGACAACTGCCGGCGGCGCGCGCAGGGCAGCTGCTGGGCATGCTGTCCACCACCACCACCAAAGTTGGAGGGAGGGAGGAGGTGGAGGAGGAGGAGGAGGAGGTGGTGGTGGAGGAGGTGGAGGACGAGGACGAGGAGGAGGAGGAGGAGGAGAAGGAGGTGGAGGAGGTGGAGGACGAGGACGAGGACGAGGAGGAGGAGGAGGAGGAAGACCCCCTCCCCCTCCAACTTGTGGTGGTGGTGGTGGTGGAAAGCAAACCCGTCAGCAGCGTGGGGGAAGGGGGAAGGCGTCTTGGAATTAGGTCGGGCACGTCCTCCTACAGGGGGATGTTGGACGAAAAATAACAAGTACTCAATAAGTACTCAATCATGATCCAGCACACAATCGTCCCCAGACTATTGCTTGACTAGTTTTGAACATTCCCCCTGTAAAAGGAAAGGCCCGACTGAATCTTAGGTCGCTTGTCAGAAGGCGGTGGCCCTACATCTGCAGACGAGGCCCGCGCCTTCTAAGAAGCAGCCTCCTCCTAAGAAACCTTCCCCCCTCCCCCTACCCTGAGGTCCGAGGGCGCAGAAGCATGAAGCATCGCTGAAGATTACGGCCGGAGCCCCGATCCCATCTTTCTGCGCTATTTGTTCGAGCTGGATCGATGTAAGAGTAAGAGGGTCCCGGGGGCCGAAGTCAGGCGAACACTCCCGGCTCGGAAATACTGAGACGCCAGGATCTCAGGTGCACCCCCCTGTGCGCGCCGCCAAGATATACACCAGCCCACAGCCGTGTCGTGTACAATCTCTCAGCGGGGTGCTGCTAGAGTTAGGTCGGGCGTGTCCCCCTACAGGGGGATTTTGCGCGAAAAATAAAAATACTCGAAAAAAATTCCCGAATGATCAAAAAATACTCCAAAAAAAGTCCCCTGACCATTTTTAAAAACTGTTCCTGAATATCCCCCCTGTAGAGGGACAGGCCCGACTTAATGCTAGAGGTGCCCCCGGGCCCAAGGTGCCCCCCCCCAGGACTCCCCAGGGAGGACCCCCCGCGGCCTCTGGAGCACCCCTCGCGGGGCCCAGCGAGCCCCACCAAGGGCTCCCAACTTCGCGCTCTCGCGCCGCCTCCCAGGGGGGAAGAGGAGGATGACTAGAAATCGGAGCCGAACCGCGAAGCGCGAGTAACTTCGCGCCCTCGAGGGCGCCCTTGCCCACGGGCTCCAGAATGGGGGGAAAAAGCTGGGGGCACCCTGGGCCAGGGGCACACCTCTGGCAGCACCCGACGGGGGGGGGCAGAAGCGTTCTCGTCACCCCGCCAGCCCTCTTCCTCCTCCTCCTCCTCCTCCTCCTCCTCCTCCTCCTGCTCCTCCTCCTCCTCCTCCAGCCTCCTCCTCCTCCAGCCTCCTCCTCCTCCTCCTGCTCCTCCTCCTCCTCCTGCTCCTCCTCCTCCTCCTCCTCCTTCTCCTCCTCCTCCATTCCTTCCCCGAATGAAGAAACCATGCCTGTCGCACCCCGAGGCCAACCCCTGGGGCGGGCCGGGCGTTTCGCCTGAGACTTCATCATGTATGGCCCTGAAGTTTAACATTGACAACAGTTTCACGGGGTGAGGGCGGGTCGTTTTCAAAATGCGGCTCTCGCCTTAGCGCCGCGCACATTTGTTTGAAACATGTGCAAGGAGTTTCACGGATTGAGGGCGGGTCGTTTTCCAGATGTGGCTCTCGCCTTAGCGCCGCGCACATTTGTTTTCAACATTTGCAAGGAGTTTCACGGATTGAGGGCGGGTGGTTTTCAAAATGTGGCTCTCCCTTCAGCGCCGCGCACATTCGTTGCAAACATTTGCAAAAGTTTCACGTGTGTTTTTTTCATGTGGCTCTCGCTTCAGCACCGCGCACATTCGCTTGAAATATTTGCAAGGGTTTCACGGATTGAGGGCGGGTCGATTTCAAAATGTGGCTCTCGTCTCAGCGCCGCGCACATTTGTTTTCCACATTTGCAAGGAGCTTCACGGATTGAGGGCGGTTCCTTTTCAAAATATGGCTCTCGCCTTAGCGCCGCGCATATGATTGATACAACATTGTAAGAGCTTCACGGGTTTCCATGATCGACGCACCAGAAATGGCGTTTTGGAAGGATTCACGATTTGGAGGGCGCAACAGCTACGATGATTCGCGGAGTTGAGGTCCCAAGAATGGCGTTCTGGCACGATTCAGGATCGTCAAGACGCAACAGTCAGGTTCATCTGTGGCGTTGGAATACCGAGAATACTGTTTTGGCATGCTTCAAGGTCTTCAAAAGGTTGTCTTCCAACGAGGCAGGTCCCTCTGTGGAAGTGAACCGTTGTAGGGGCCTATGAAGAGGGAGATCGGGGGGAGACATCATTCCAACATCGTTGGTGTCTCTTGAGTTTGCACTGGTCCTCCTCCTCCTCCTCCTCCTCCTCCTCCTCCTCCTCCTCCTCCTCCTCTTCCTTCTCTTATTTTTCCTCCTCCTCCTCCTCCTCCTCATCCTCCTCTTCCTTCTCTTCTTTTTCCTCCTCCTCCTCCTCCTCCTCCTCCTCATCCTCCTCCTCTCACTCCAGAGTAGGGGCCAGGACGGCGAGGAGCGGCGGGCGGAGGTGGAGGACGAGGAGGAGGCGGAAGAGGTGGAGATGGAGGAGGAGGAGGAGGAGCAGGAGGAGGAGGAGGAGGAGGAGGAGGAGGAGGAGGAGGAGAAGCGGGAAGGGGAAGAGGAGGATCACACGGACAGAGGGCTGAGGCTCCGAGGCCCCAGGAGGTACCAGAGAGACCAGGCCCAGCCCCCGGAGACCCCAGAAATCATCCCTCAGGACCCCGATCCTCGACCCAGGCGCGGTGGCACCCCCAGGAGGCCTCCGAGACGCTCCCAAGAGGCCCCCAAGAGGCCCCCAAAGCCTCCCTGATGCACCCAAGGGCCCTCCATGAGGCCCCTGAGATGCATGCCAAGGGACCCTCATGTTCATCGAAGAGGCTCCTGACCCACAGCCCAGGCGCGGTGGCGGGATGGGCCGAAGGCAACTAGATCCGCCGCCCCCTGTGGTCTTGCCACAGGGGTGCACGGCGTGCTGGATGTTTCAGGTTTTGGTTTCTAAAAGAACTCCCCAGTTGGCTTCGGCCCGTCCCGCCGGCCACCCGCAAGTTCCCGAAAATCCATCTGTCAATGCCTTTGTTGCCCCAACTTGGCCCAAGATGGCCTCCAAGACGGCCAAGATGGCCCAAGATGGCCTCCAAGATGCTTCCAAGACGGCCAAGATGGCCTCCAAGACGGGTAAGATGGCTCCAAGATGCACCCAAGACGGCCCAAGATGGCCTCAAGATGGTCTAAGACGGCCCAAAAGGCCCGCAAAAGGCCTCCAAGACGGCCCAAGAGCCCTCCAAGACGCCCTCCAGGAAGGCCCGAATAGGTTAAAATCATTGATTTTCCTTAGGTTTTTCAAGGATTTGGGCATGTTCTTCTTTTCAGCTCTCCCACGGCCCCAGACGGCCCAAGAGGTCCCCAACATCGCCCCAACAGCACCCAAGAGGCCTCCAAGATGGCCCCATGACGGCCCAAGAGGCCCCCAAGAAGGCCCCAAGAGGGCCTCAAGACGGCCCAAGAGGCCTCCAAGACGCCCAAGATGGCCTCCAAGACGGCCAAGATGGCCCAAGATGGCCTCCAAGATGCCTCCAAGACGGCCAAGATGGCCTCCAAGACGGGTAAGATGGCTCCAAGATGCACCCAAGACGGTCCAAGATGGCCTCAAGATGGTCTAAGACGGCCCAAAAGGCCGGCAAAAGGCCTCCAAGACGGCCCAAGAGCCCTCCAAGACGCCCTCCAGGAAGGCCCGAATAGGTTAAAATCATTGATTTTCCTTACGTTTTTCAAGGATTTGGGCATGTTCTTCTTTTCAGCTCTCCGACGGCCCCAGACGGCCCATGAGGTCCCCAACATCGCCCCAACAGCACCCAAGAGGCCTCCAAGATGGCCCCATGACGGCCCAAGAGGCCCCCAAGAAGGCCCCAAGAGGGCCTCAAGACGGCCCAAGAGGCCTCCAAGACGCCCAAGATGGCCTCCAAGACGGCCAAGATGGCCCAAGATGGCCTCCAAGATGCCTCCAAGACGGCCAAAATGGCCTCCAAGACGGGTAAGATGGCTCCAAGATGCACCCAAGACGGCCCAAGATGGCCTCAAGATGGTCTAAGACGGCCCAAAAGGCCCGCAAAAGGCCTCCAAGTCCGCCGCCCCCTGTCGCTTCAGCAAAGGGGTGCCCGGCGTGCTGAATCCTCTCGGTTTTGGTTTTGGTTCTTTTTCCAAAAGAACTCTCCAAGTGGGCTCCGGCGCGTCCCGCCGGGGCCGCGGAAGGCCCGGAAACGAGCTCAACGACCGCAAAAAATCCTCCAAGATGGCTCAAGAAACGGCCGTTTCGCTCGGGACATCCTCGAAAAATCGCTAACATGGCCCAAGATGGCCTCCAAGTCCGCCCAAGATGGTCCAAGCCCCCCTCCAAGAAGGCCCAAGAGAGTCGAAGATGGTCCACGACGGCCCAAGAGGCCCCCCAGAGGCCTCCCAGACGGCCCAAGAGGCCTCCAAGAGGTTCTCCAGGAGGGCCCGAAGAGGCCAAAATCATTGATGTTCCTTAGGTTTTTGAAGGATTTGGAAATTTGCGTCTTCTCGGCATTCCGACGGCTCAAGACGGCCCAAGAGGCCCCCAAGATCGCCCAAGAGGCCCCCAAGAGGGCCCCATGACGGCCCAAGTGGCCTCCAAGTTGGCCCCAAAAGGGCCCCAAGACGGCCCAAGAGGCCTCCAACACGCCCAAGATGGCCTCCAAGACGCCCAAGATGACCTCCAAGACGGCCCCGAAGCGCCCCGAGAGGGTCCCCCGTTGGCCCAGAAAAGCCCCCAAGACGGCTCCCGACGGCGTCAGACGTGCCAGGAACACACCAAGATGGCCGAAGTTGGCTCGAAGCTGGCCCAAGACGGCCCAATGGGCCCCCAAGAGGGCCTCCACGAAGGAGGAAGATGACCTTCAAGATGCCCACGTGTTCCCCCAAGGCTTTCCAAACCGATTCGGGGAACACATGGTCCGATGGCTTGGCAGGTCTGGCCTCAACGTTCGGCCACATAGGCGCTTCCAAAAAGGCAGGAGGCGGCGGTGATTCGCCCCGAAAAGGAGTACAATTCCCAATTGGTTCGCTCAAGATGGTCCAAGATGGCCTCCAAGATGGCCATCTTGGGCCAAGATGGTCCAAGATGGCCTCCAAGTCCACCCAAGATGGTCCAAGTCGGCCTCCCAGACGGCCCAAGAGAGTCCCAGACGGCCCAAGACGGCCCAAAAGGCCTCCCAGATGCCTCCAAGACGGCCCAAGAGGCCTCCAAGAGGTCCTTCAGCCCGAAGAGGCCAAAATCATTGATTTCCTACGGGTTTTGAAAGATTTTCGCATTCGCTTCTTCTTGGCATTCCGAAAACCCAAGGCGGCCCAAGAGGCCCTCAAGATCGCCCCCACAGCGCCCAAGAGGCCTCCAAGATGGCCTCAGGACTGCCCAAGAGGCCCCCAAGACGGCCCCAAGAGGGCACAAAGACGACCCAAGAAGCCTCCAGGACACCCAAGATTGCCTCTAAGGCGGCCCTGGAGTACCCCAAGAGAGCCCCAAGTCGGCCCAGAAAGGCCCCCCAAACGGCTTCCGACGGCGTCAGACGGGCCAGGAACCCACCAAGATGGCCGAAGATGGCTCGAAGCTGGCCCAAGACGGCCCAAGAGGCCTCAAAGAGGGCCTCCAGGAAGGCCCGAAACGGCCCAAAACATTGATTTCCCATAGGTGTTCTAAGGAGTTTGACATGTGCTTCGCTTCGGCCTTCCGACGGCCCGATACGGCCCAAGAGCCCTCAAAGATCGCCCAAGGATCGCCCAAGAGGCCTCCAAGATGGCCCCAGAACGGTCAAAGGGGCCCCCAAGACGGCCCCGGAGGCTTTTAAGACGCCCAAGATGGCCTCCACGACGGCCCTGGAGCATTCCAAGAGGGCCCCAAGTCGGCTCAGAGAGGCCCCCCAAACGGCGCTGTGACAGAACAAGACAGTTCCAGCCAGGAATGTTCTGGGAGCATGTCGCGAAAACCACAAAACAAAATCTTAGAAAACATTGCTTGGAGGGCAAGAAGGCACACCAGGATGGTTCGCCACTGCTTGTGAGTATCGTTTAACCTATCCCCATCCCCAGCGGCGTGGCCCGGGCCCCACTGGCCGATTTACCTCCCTGGATGGGGATATAAGTCGTTCCCTTCGGTTTTCGAGGAGTGTATCCCCAACAGGGAAGTAATTTGGTGGGGGTCTCGAAAGGGATGGGGATGGGGCTGGGGGTCGGCTAAACGATACTGAATGGGGCCGCGGCCCAGGGCCCTCAGCCCGCGAGGCAGCGGGAACAGACACGCCCTCCGCCCACGAGCGGGGGGGGAGGAGGAGGAGAGGCGGGAGGAGGGCGGAGGAGGAGGAGGAGGAGGAGGAGGACGAGGAGAAGGAGGAGGAGGTGGAGGAGGAGGAGGAGGAGAGAGGTGGGAGGAGGCGGAGGGCGGAGGAGGAGGATGAGGGGGAGGAGGAGGAGGAGCAGGAGCAGGAGTAGGAGTAGGAGGAGGAGGAGGAGGAGGAGGAGGAGGAGGAGGAAGAGGAGGAGGGAGGGTGGAGGGGGGGCCGGGGGCCGGGGGCGGCGAGCGCGCGCGGCCCCCATAGCGGGCGGCGAGCGGCGGCTATATAGGCGCCCTCTCGCGCGGGGGGAAAGCGGGTCCCGAGGGCAGGGGGCCCCGGGCCCTTTTCAGGGGAGGCAACTTCTGGGAGGTCCTCGTCGACGCCAGGATCCGAGGCTCCAGGAGCTGCACCCGAAGACGCCTGGGGCCTCCCCCAGGACGCCATCCTCGTCCCGAGCCGTTCCCTGGCGGTCCGCCGGGGCCCCGCAGGCCCGAAGCCACCTTGAGGAAACCTCGAGACCCGCTGCCCTGAGGACCCGGCTTTCCCCCATGGCGAGCCCTGCCGGGGGCACGCAGGGGGGGGATCTAATTCCGCCGCCGGCGTCGTGGGCAGCGGGGCCCGCCGACGCGGGCGAATTCCTTCGCGGGGCCCCCGCGGCAGGGAGGCCCTGGGAGCCGATGGACCGGCTCCCCTCGCCCACCCCGCCGCCGGGCTCCCCTGCGGAGGCCAGGGCAGCTGATGCCGCGGGCCGCGAGCAAGAAGGGGGGGCAGGGTCTCCAGAGGCCCTCTCGATCCCAGACATCTCCAGCGGCGTGATCAGTGTTCAATGCCGGCGGCTCGTCCTTCACTCTGGCCTCCACGGGCCGTCTTCGGAGACTGGAGGCCTCAAGCATGGATATGGGGCGACAACCTCACCTGGGTCCAGAACTCTGGGGCCGCGGGTTTGACAAAAACAAATCGTCGGATCTGCGATACTTGTCTTGGGACGTCAAAAAGAAATCAGAGGCGTGGAAAAAAGGTTGCGGAAAGAGGTACAGGTAGACAGGAGTTCGTGTGATCCATCGTGCGACGAGGGGGGGGGGACCGGGGTGCACTGAAAGGAAAACATGGAAATGATATCTGGGAGTTCGTGGCCATGGCCATGGCAGCATTTCCCGCCCCCTGGTGTTCACCTCCTCGGCATGAAAGAAAGCGGGTCCTGGAGAAAACGGGTCCTGAATCTCAGGAGCCCTCCCCGGGGGCCAGATCTTCATCGTGGGCTCTGTTTGGTTACTGTCCCGCTGCCAATGGAAAACCCTGGGAATCCGAAAGCGCAGAAAATGCGGAAAACACCTGCATCTCAGGAACAAGTTCTTTCACAGCAAATCTCACTCCTCCACGACCCCGAAAAGCGCCGCAAGCATAACGCATCAGAGACATATCAGCTGGCCCCAGTACTCACATCCAGTTGGCAAGGCGTCGAGCTGCGCACAGACAGCCCTTCCAAGCAGTCCTGCATGGCCCTAACGTCCTGGCGCCGCCTCGAGCACCTCCCCTGGATCGCTCCGAGCCCCATACATAAAGTGTCGAGACAACCATGAACTACTCGTGGTGCCTGTTGAAAGCCCCAGAACTGCCCAGAGCTGTTTGTGCGCACCCCGAAGACTCACGTGCCACCTCTGTGGTGTCCTCCTCTGGGCCGAAGTCGCCTCCTCCCTCCTCCTCCTCCTCCTCCTCCTCCTCCTCCTCCTCCCCTCATCCTCCCCCTCATCCTCCGCCTTCTGCTGTTGCCCCCCCTCATCCTCCTCCTCCACCTTCTCCTCGACCTCCCCTCCTCCACCCTCTCCCCCGCCCCCTCCTCCTCATCCTCTTCCTCCGCCGCCTCCTCCTGCCCATGCTGACCCCCCCCCCCTCTCCTCCTCCCCCTCCTGCTCCTCCTCCTCCTCCTCCTCCTCCACCTCCTCCTCCACCTCCTCCACCTCCTCCTCCTCCTCTTCACGTGATGGGCATGCTGGGCCCTCCTCGCCCAGGCGGAGGTCCAGATCCGCCCTCGAAGGCCCGTCGCGGCGCGCTCTGGGACAGGCCCCGAGGGGGGGGGGGGGCGGGATGCGCGAGGAGGCCAAAGACTGATGAGCCTGCGTTCCACCATCACCACCACCATCAGTTGGAGGGGGAGGGGGTCCTCCTCCTCCTCCTCGTCCTCCTCCTCCGCCTCCTGAAACCCCAAACCTCAGACACCGCATCCCGGACCCCAAACATCAGACCCAAAGCGCCAAACCCCAAAAACCATACCGCAAACACCAAAACTCAAAGCCCAACCAGTGACACCTCAGTCCTCGTCGTTCTTTTCTCCCTCTTGTCCTCGTCGTCGCGGGACTTGCCGACGGCCCGCAGGCAGGATGGCGCGCGTGGGGTGGGAGGGCATGGGGATGTGGAGGAGAAGGAGGATTGGGGGGAGGAGGACGACGAGGGGGAGGAGGAAGAGGACGCGGAGGAAAAAACAGAAGAACACCTTCGGCTCGGGAGGGGCTGCGATTCCCGAGCCGTTCCATGGGTCAGAGTACGGAGACCCTGTTGTGGCCAAGGTTCGCCGTGGCCATCAAAGCCGCTTCGCTCTCTATGTAATTTTCCTTATGGCTCACGGAAGGAAAAGATTACGAGAGGAACGGCTCCTGGAGGTTGTTCTCCGTTTTCGGGCTCCTGGGACATCAGCGGGCCCACCGCTGTTCAAGAGTTCCTGATGGTGTCTTAGGTTTTACTGAGGCTCGCCAGGGTGCTTGTAGGATGTCTTCTGGGTTCCTTTGAATTCGTTACAAGATTCCCGAAGATCCCCTCAAGATCCGACTTCGGCGCATTCCTTAGGATTCCAGAGGACCCTTACGGGTTCCTTAGGAAACCTGCGGGTTCTTCAGGATTGCGTCAGGTTCCTTCGGATTCTTTGGGGGTAGGTTAGATTCCGTCGGATTCCATTCGAGTTCTCTATAGTCCCTTTAAGAACCGCACGCGGTTCACACAGGAAACGTGCGCAATTCACTCAGGAATCGCAGACGAACCACATATGAGTCGCATGCGGCTCACAAAATTACAACTCGCATGCGAGCAGCGCACTTGCCACATAGGATTATTATACGATGCGCACGTGCATCGTTGACGATTCACATAAACATCGCAAATGGCCCGCAGGGAAATCGTATACGGTTCGATTCACATGCGAGTTGTATACGATCTATATGGGAAATGTATGCGAGTCACATAACAAACGTCTACGATACACGTCGGGCCGGTATACGATTCACACGGGTCCTCCATGAACTGTTCACATTGTAATCACATATGACTCATATAAGAATCGTGCAATATTCATACGATTCGCATAACACGCGCGTGCGTTTCACACAGGAGCCGTCTCCGATTCACCTTGGAATCGAACAAGGTTGACACAGGTTTCGTATACGAATCGCATAGGAGTCGCATATGATTGCCATGTACCATATACGACACAAACATAACACCCAGATGCGATTCGCACGAACACCTCATGCGAATCACATCAGGTCCGTACGCGAATCACATCGGCGTGTACGACTCGCGCAGGTATCGTATACGATTCACAGTCGATGTGTTGAGAAAAAACACGTAGGAAAGGCAGACAATCCACATGGGAATCATTTTGGAGTAGCATAGGAGTCGTATACGACTCACATCTGGGTCGCGTGCGCGTCACATACAATTCGTAGACTGTGCACAAAAAAAGAAAGCGGATGCGATCCACACAAATATCATACACGATGCACATGGGATTGCAAACGATGCGCATTGAATCCGTATACGGTTTACATATGACTCATTTACGAGTCATACAGCATTCGTGCACGTCGCCCACCAATGGTCGTCTGCCATGCACATCGGGCTCGTATACGATTCACATAGAATGCGTATGCGCTTCACATAGTCATCGTAAACGACTCACACCGTCTACTCGAAAATCCAGATATAGGATTTACATAGAAACCGATTGCTCGGAGTACCATTCCTGCGGATGGGTTGTCCCCCGTCTCTTTCCCCCCAGGAAGCCATGTGGGCCCCTCAAGGGCACACCACTGGCACCCCAAACTTTCTCAAATGGCTTACGGAAGGTCTTCCGAAGCTCACATTCCAAAGGGGTGTCCCCCGGACAACCGGGGTATAGCCCGTCCATCCGGGGTATAGCCAATCCAACCCGGGTATAGACTACTGCCAGTCCGAGGAGAGGCCTGGAGGTCGCGAAGCCTCAGGTTATCCAATCTCGCGCCACGCGCCGCTCTCGAGGCGGGGTGGGGTGACGGGGAGAAGGCCCAGAGGGAGGGGCGCCAGGGGGGGGGATGGAAAATAGAAGGATGGACGAGGAAGTCGGGAGCGGCCAAGAGGGGGGTGTCCAAGGGGGAGGGGGGGGTGCAAATCATGGCCGGCGGCATGTGCGCGGCCCAGCGGGGGGGCCAGGGACGTAATGAAATAAGACGAGGCGCCATAATATCTGGGGAAATATCATGGCCCCCGCCATGATACCCACCCACCCCTAGTCACCACCCCACTCTTTGCCGCCCCCGAGGAAGGGAGGGTGGGAGGGAGGGGCGAGGAAAAAAGGAAACTGTGCCCCGTCCACCGGGGAGACAGGGGGGCACAGGGGTGGGGCAGGGGCCGCAGCTGCCAGGCTGGGCCCTCTGAATCCCCGAACCCCCTTCTTGCTCACGTCTCAGACCGCGGGAATCGTGGGGCTGCGACCCCTCCTTCCCCTGCTCGTCCGCCAGCCTCGGTTTGCTCTTTCCTCCTCCTCCTCCTCCTCCTCCTCCTCCTCCTCCTCCTCCTCCTTGTCCTCCTCTTCCTCCTCCCCCCCTCCCGTCCTCCTCCTCCTCCTCCTCCTGCTCCTCCTGCTCCTCCTCCTCCCTATTCCCTCTGTCCTCCACTATCCTCTTTCTCTCCGAGGTGATCCCTCTACTCCCCCACCACCTCCTTCTTAGTCCCTCATAAATCGCACCTCCTCCTCCTCCTCTTCATCCTCCTCATCCTCCCTCTTTTCACTGTCCTCCACAATTCTCAGTCTCCCCGTGGTGATTCGTCTACTCCCCAACCACCTTCTTCACAGACTCCCACAAATGGCACCTCCTCCTCCTCCTCATCCTCCCTCCTTTTCCTCCCCCTCCTCCTCCTCCTCCTCTTCTCCTCCTCCTCCTCCTCTTCGTCCTCCTCTTCCTCTTGGAAGTTGTCCAAAACGACGTTGGTGAGGATAGCGCGCCCTCCTGTGCACATCAAAGCCAGGTTCGACAAGTAATTGCGCAGATGATGTCGGATGGCAACAACATGTAACTGGAGCCAGAACGACGAGTGGTTCAGTAACATGGGAACTAAATTCGCCGGCCCAACGGGCCAGGGCGTGCTAAGATCTCCGGTAACTGGTTAACAGTGTTAACAGTATTTCTAGTTCGCGCGCGCGGGGCGGCCCCTGGGGGTCCCCCGGCGAGAAGTACCCCGACCGCCGCCCGACCAAGTCTACTCAGAGATGGTTTTCCTTCTGGGTGCGGCCTCTCAGGCTCCCCAGAGCGCGCTCAGAGTGCCCCAAGAGGCCCCCAAGACTGCCCAAGAGGCCCCCGAAACGCCCAAAGAGCGCTCGAAGACGCCGAAGATGACCCCAAGACGGCCCAAAAGACCCCCAAGACAGCCCAAGAGGCCTCCAAGACGACCCAAGAGCCTTCCAAGAGGCCTCCGAAGAGAGCCCCAAGAAGCCAAAATCGTTGATTTTCATTGGTTTTTTCTATGTTTTGTGTGTTCTGGCTTTTTCGGCTTCCGGACGCGCCAAGACGGCCCAAGAGGCCCCCAAGACCGCTCCAAGACGGCCCACGAAGCTCCCAAGACAGCGCCGAAACGACCCAAGAGAGCCCTCAAGACGGCCCAAGTGCCGCCCAAGACGGACCAAGAGGCCCCAAGACGGGCCCAAGAGGGACTCAGGAGGGATACCGAGAACTCAAAAATGGAGCCCTCCGTCCCAGAAGGCGCCCAGGAGGTCCCAAAGAGGCCCCAAGAGGCCTCCAAGAGGCCCCAAGATGTCGCCAAGAGGCCCCAGGAGACTCCCAGGAGGCCCAAAAGAAGCCCCAGAAGGCTTCAAACATGTCTCCCAGGCGCCCCCGAACGGCCTCTCAACAGACCCCAAGAGGCCCCCCAAAGAAGCATCTTGACGACGACTCTATTTCGCCCCATCGAGAGACGACCCCCAGGGAACTGCTTCACCATCAAAACTCCCCACGCAACGCGTCCGAACGACACCCGCCCCCAAGAGCGCAACATGGGCAACGAACACACAGACAAAAACCAGCGATGCCATATCACGGGCCGGCGGAATGAGCGAAGCGATTCAATAACACTACCACCACCACAACCACCCCATCGGCCTGGTTATACAAGCTGAAGCTGTCACGAGCGGAAGTCTCTAGAAATATCAAGCGTGAAAGAAATAGTCTGATCGGCAATTATTCCTCAGAGACCTGTGCTGGTCAAAACGTATATGTGCCTATGACGGGATGTGTGTTCCTACATTGACTTGCGACACCAAGGCGGGGAACCAAGACATGTTACACACTCGCCTGTCCGCTGGTCGGCGCGACCGCGACCACCAGGCGCGCGGTTGTTCACCATTGCCAACTGTCTGTGCCTGGCTCTGGCATTCCCTCATTGACGCACGGACTCGCGGCAATGATCCACAATCACCGTTAAACGCATACTCCAGCTCGTCCCCGTCGGCAATTAAAATACAATTTCACGATTCTGGTCACAACCGTCAACCTCTTCATGGCACCGTCTTATGGAATGGTTACGGCTGCTCGACGAGACTGGTTTCCACCACCATCAGTTGGAGGGGGGAAGGAGGTGGAGGACGAAAAGATAAAGAAGAAGAAGAAGAAGAAGAAGAAGAAGAAGAAAGACCCCCTCCCCCTCCAGCTTATGGTGGTGGTGGAAGACAGGCTCATCACTGTTCCGAGCGGCCGGCCCACGTCGCGAACGTCGGGCGACGCACAGCGACCCCCACTACGGCCCGTGCGCCTCACCAAGAGCATGGGAACGCCGCTCAAGCCTGCTCAGTGGGCCACAACGGGTGGTCTCAAGGCCTGCGATGGTGCACTCTCCAGAGGGCTTCCTCGTCACACCGAAGGCTGCGGTCCCTTGCATCAAGGCTCGTCCTCTGGCGGCCACGCCGTCTGGCTACACAAGTTTGCTCCGACATTCGCTTGGTACCATACTACCTTCAGGTCGGGCATGTCCCCCTACAGGCGGATTTTGGCCAACAAATAAATAAACTATCAAAAAAATGATACAGGATGATCAAAAATACTTAAACAAGTCGTCCCCAGACTATTGTTTTACTACTTTTGAATTTTCCCCCTGTAGAGGGACACGCCCGACTTAATGCTACCTCCGGTGCCTCCGCTTGCTCCTAGCCGCGGTGACGCCGCAACCCTCCTCTTGCGTCAACTCCACTCCGTCGATGACTGCTACAAACTCGGCGGCGACCTCCTTCGCGACGAAGCCCAACGCTTAGGTCGGGCATGTCCCCCTACAGGCCAATTTCTGGCAACAGAAAAATCGAATAATCCAAAAGCACTCAACCAAAAAATACAAAAATCTTCCCCATACTATTTCTTACTATTTTTGAATTTTCTTCCTGTAAAGGGACAGGCCCGACTCAACGCAACTCCCAGATGCCTGTCGGACATGACAAGCGGTCGCTCTCCACCGCCAAGTCGCTGCTCCGGATCTTGCAGCCGATCGCGGCGGGGGTACCAGGCTGGCCAAAATGTGCCAAACCATCTTGTCAACATGCTTACACACTCCTCTTGGAGCTCAGGTCCATTTGTTGCGCTTACCTGCGCGTTCTCCTGACTGTTCGTCTCGATGATTTCACGCGGGGGGTCGATTGGTGACAGGGGATCCTGGTAACCACCGAAATCATCTTGGACAAATCCCTCGATCTAGCAGTTATCCTATTCGTGATATATACATGTATATATATATATATGTATATATACATGTATGGATTCAATGATTGGCAAATGGAGCAATGCGGGTCATCGAGCAGGGCGAATATCTTTTGAGTTTGAGTAATATAGTGGCAATAATAAGCATACTGCTGAAAACTACAACAATCTGAACAACAACATACAATGCGAACAATAATACGAATAATACCACTACTAATAGAACAATGTGACCCAAATGGTCACGTTCTTCATGCCTGTGTTAACCGATGGCGCTCCTGCTGGTATCCCGACCGTGAAGAGACTTCCTTGGTATCATTACGCACTGGACTCCTTAACCGAATCCCATAGAGGGTAAAAAAAAGGCATAACCAGCATCGGCAACGCGTTGATTGGCCACCTCGTGCAAATCACGGCTGTTCAGTCCAGCTAGCGATCTTCTGAAACAAGACACTGCAAACGTCGACGCTGAGGTTGCTGGCATACGGGACGCCCCTGCAGCTGAGGTCGACGTGGACGAGGTCCAGGGCTGCATGAAGTTACTCAGAAGGTGGCCAGGCTCAAGGACAAGCCACTTCGGGCGGGCAACGTCATAATCACCCTGCTTGGACGCGGATATGAAACGGACACACGTTCAGCCCAGGTGTTGATGGAAGAAGCCATATGCAGTTTTGGCCAAACGACGGATGGCTGTGGCCCAGAGGCACATAACAAAGACCTCCTCCTGATCCTTCTCCTCTTCCTGCTCCTCCTCATCCTCCTCCTCCTCCTCCTCCTCCTCCTGCTCCTCCTCCTCCTGTTGTTGCCTCCTCTTGCCTCCTCCTCCTCCCCTCCCCCTCTCCATCCCCCTCCTCCTCCCCCTCCACAATTACACAATATGAATACTACTCTCCCACTTCCCCTGATGGCGTCCGGAAGATGTTCGGCACCCCCCCGCGTACTGTTTTTTTACACACAGGATTCCCCGGAGTTGGGTTTTCGCTTGTGTTTTTTTCTAAAATGCTGCTCTCGCTGAGGCGCTGGCCTAATTTTCGGGTTCCCGCTCCTTCCGAATCGTGTTCCCGCTGCAACGCTGGCCTCATTTCCGCGCTCCCGCTCGTTCCGAATCGTGCTCCCGCTGCAGCGCTGGCCCAATTTCTGCGCCTCTCGTTGTTCCAAAACGTGCTCCCGCTGCAGCGCCGACGTTTTCGATCCTTCTTAAGAAGCCCCAAATCTAGAAAATGATCCCCGGCAAAAACATTGGAGGTGATTACACATCCGGTGTCGATTCGTTGATTTTTGGGGCCGCAGAAAGCCCCCCCCCCCCTTTTGGGCGGCGTCCTTTTCCGCGCAGGATTTGGCCTAGTTTGGACCACGCCGCTCCGACTGGACCCCGTGAGGGGTCCACGGGCCCAGTGTGAGCCGACTGTCCAGGGAAGCCAGACCATCGAGCCTGGCAGCCCTCCATCCTCTTCTCTGACATCTGTCCTCGCCCGCTGCCGCTTCCCTCGCCGCCACCGCCGTCGTCGTCTGCGTCTTTGTCGCGGTTGGCAATTTCTACCTCTACCATTACTCAATATGAATGCACCTGCATCGTCGTCTGCGTCTTTGTCGCGATTGGCAATTTCTACCTCTACCATTACTCAATATGAATGCACTTGCACAACTCTGACATCGGACACACTCTACCATTACCCAATATGAATGCTACTCTCCTTTCACCCCTGCAGAAATTTGAGATCCGGGTGGGGGACGCGCGTAACGGCAGCGGGCAGCTGGCGCGGGTGCCGCTCCGGCGCGGTCGCGTCGTCGTCGTCGTCGTCTCGTCGCCGGTCGTCCTCATCGTCGTCGTCGTCGTCGTCGCCGCCGTCGTCGTCGTCGTCGTGGTTGTCGTCGTCGTCGTCGTCTTCGTCGTCGTCGTCTTCGTTTTCATCGCGCCGTCGTCCTCCTCCTTTCCCTCTTAGGTAACAGGGTCAGATGCGAAGCCCGATTCGGTGAGAGGACAATGAAGTAGCTCAATGGGAAGGGATGGGAGGGAGGGGTAGGATGTCAGATGTTGACGCGAGCGCACCTAGCTCCGTCCTCCCCTCCCCCTCCTCCTCCCCCCTCCTCCTCCCCCTCCTCCTCTTCCCCTCCCCCTCCTCCTCCCCCTCCTCCTCCCCCTCCTCCTCCTCCTCCCCCTCCTCCTCCCCCTCCTCCTCCCCCTCCTCGCTCCCCGCCCCACTCCCCCCTTCTGCCCCCATCCTCGTCCTGCCGGGCCCTGGCGCCGGGCGCCGACCCGCACCGTTCCCGCGGCCTGCGCTGAGAGCCTGCGCCGCGAGAGGCCGCGGCGCGTCGAATTCGTCGTTGGCTGCGGCTCGGGGCCCCGCCTACCCGGGTGCAGCCGCGCGGCCCGGCAGCCGGGTCCCCCCAGAACCCACATGCTCTTTCGTAGTAATGTTCACCCGATCGATCGATCAGGATGGCGAGCGGGAAGCAGATCGAAGATGCTGGTTAAAAAGATTAGAACTCTCAAGAAGCTTCAAGCCTTGAGAAACGGATGCTTCACCGACCGAAATGATGCAGCACTTCCGTCCTTCGTGCTGCTCTCTCGTCCTGCTGTGCGTGGCGCTCGCCCCGTTGCCCTGTGCCTCCCGGGCGCCGCCGCGCGGCCTCGCCCGGGCCCGGCAGCCGGGCCCCCCCAGAATGATTCGTCGGGCGCGTTCCCCTGCAGGGAGAACTCGGAGGACAAATTTAAAAGATACTCCAAAAGTGCTCAAACGATGCCCCAAAAGACTTTCAAAAAATAGTCCCCTGACTGTTTTTGTGACTATGTTTGAAGATTCCCCCTGTCGAGGGACAGGCCCGACTGAACCCCAGAGCCAGGGCTGAACCTCAACGCTGTTTTTCGTGCCGTTCTCGCCTCGCTGTGCGTTGTGCTCTCCCCGTTGTCCTGTGCCTCCCTACCGCAGCGAGACGCAGCTCACGGCCGAAGTCCAGCAAGACAGCGTTTAGGTCCAGCCCTGCCCAAGAACCAGATCTGGAGGCCTCCTGGGTGGGGTCCGACTGGATGGGGTCGGAGGATCGCGCCGCTCCGCCGATACATCGGCGATGCATCGGCAATGCATCGGCGACGCCAGCGCGAAGAAATCGGGCTCTACATCGAGCCGCAACGCCGATGCATCGGCGATGCGGCGCGACCCTCCGACCCCATCTACTCCGACCCCATCTGGGAGGCCCAGAAGAGCCTCGTCCCGAGTTTGGCGGCGCGCACTCAGGGGGCAGGGGGCAGGGGGGAAGCCTTCTGAGACGGAGGCTGCTTCTTAGCAACCGCCGGCCCCACATCCAGGCCCCGCGCCGGCCCGCGCCTTCTAAGAAGGAGGGCTTTTCTAAGGAACCTTCCCCCCTCCCCCTGCCCCCGCGCGTGGCCGACGGAGGCCTGTTCGCATGGCCCCGGCAGCTCGAAAGCAACCTCGGACCCCTCCCAGGGTCCAAACGCAATGCCCCGAGCTGCGTCCCGCCGTGGCGACGAGGGCCCCCCCCCCGAAGGCCGACCGTTGGCTCAACTCGCCCTCCTCGGACCGGAAGCCGGAGATTCCCGCGCTGGACCCCAGACATCTGACATCTCGATTTTTTCGAGACGCGAGCTCCAGACCTCCCGACCGCTTCCCTGGGACCGAATTTTCCTCCCGTGTCGTTTATTGACGGTCCCGAGGCCTGGCGAGGGCCCCGAGAGGCCCAAAACGACGAATAAGCTCCGTCCCGATGTTTTCGAGACGCTCGATGTCTGGGACTGCACCTGGAGCCAGGGCCGCCCTTGGCAAGAGCCGACAGCACCGGCGAGAGCGGGCGACAAGGGCCTCCTCCTTCCTCCTCCTCCTCCTCCTCCTCCTCCTCCTCCTCCTCCTCCTCCGCCTTCCTCCTTCCTCCTTCCTCCTTCCTCCTTCCTCCTTCCTCCTTCCTCCTTCCTCCTTCCTGCTTCCTGCTTCCTCCTTCCTCCTTCCTCCTTCCTCCTTCCTCCTACCACCTCCTTCCTCCCTTCCTCCTTCCCTACTCTCCTTCCTCCTTCCTCCTCCTCCTCCTCCACAATTACTCAATATGAATACTACTCTCCCTCTTCCCCTGATGACGTGCTGGGAGTGTTCGCCCCCCCCCCGTCCTGCTTTTTTACACACAGGATTCCCGGGAGTTGGGTTGTCGCCTGCATTTTTTTCGCGCCGGCCTCATTTTCGGGCCCCGCTCGTTCCGAATCGTGCTCCCGCTGCAGCGTGGGTCTCATTTTCGGATCGGTGTTTTGCCTCCGTCGTTCAGGATGGCGTTCTCGCCCCAGCGCGGGCCTCTTTCTCGCGCGCCCATCCGCCCGCCACCACCGCACCGCGCCCCGCCCCGCCCACCGCCACTTCCACCCACCAACGCACGCACGAACGCACGCACGCGCACCGCCACCACCACCCCACTACCCCACCCACCACCACCACGCTACACCGCGTCACACCACATCACACGCGCGCGCACACAGACACGCACGCACGCACGCACGCACGCACGCACGCACGCACGCACGCACGCACGCACACAAACACACACACACACACACATACACACGCACACGCGCACACACACACACACACACACGCACACACACCACCACCACCACCACCGCCACCACCACCACCGCCATCACGCACGCACGCACCTGGCCCACCACCAAACCACCAAGACGCCACACCACGTCACACCACAGCACACGCGCACACACGCACACACAACATCACCACCACCACCACCACCACCACCACCACCACCACCACCACCACCACCACCACCACCACCACCACCACTTCCACCACCACCACCACCACCACCACCACAACACAAACACAATCACGCACACACGCACGCACGCACGCGCACCACTACCCACCCCCACGCACGTGGCGTAATAGAGCGCGGCGCGGAACCACAGTTGCCGCTACGACCGACAACGCGTACGCGGATAGAGAAAATCAGCGCAAGGTAAGGGATGTGATTGAGGGTAGGACGTCAGACATGACGCGAGCGCACATAGCTTGTCCTCCTCCTCCTCCCCCTCCTCCTCCCCCCCTCCCTCCCTCCCTCCCCTCCCCTCCCTCCCTCCCGCCCTCCTCCACCTCCTCCCTCGCCTCCTCCTCATCTTCCTCCTCCTCCTCCTCCCTTTCCTCCTCCTCCCTTTCCTCCTCCCCCACCTCCTCCTCCTCCTCATCCTCTTCCTCCTCCTCCTTTTCCTTCTTCACTTTGTTCCTCCTCCTCCTCCTCCTCCTCCTCCTCTTCCTCCTCCTCCTCCTCCTCCTCCTCCTCCTCCCTCTCCCTCCTCATCCTTCTCCTCATCCTCCCCATCCTCCTCGTATGTTTCTTATGATTGCCCATCGTAAAGTGAGTAGGATTAGTAGTCTTAGGGTTGGTAATATGATTCGCATTCGTAGTACGCTTCTGATTAATAGTATATGATTAATACGCGTAACAGTCTTACTCATAGTTTTCGTAGTCGGATTATTGTTTGAGTGTTATCATTATTAGTCGTGTCATGATGAAATCTGGTATTCTTGATATCCGTACGACTACTAATAATACTCCTCATCCTCATCATCCTCCTCTTCCTCCTCCTCCTCCTCCTCCTCTTCCTCCTCCTGCTCGTCCTGCTGCTTTTCCTCCTCCACCTCTCCTCCTCCTCCTCCTCCTCCTACCCTCCTCCTCCTCCCTGCTCTTGCTCTGCTCCTGCTCCTGCTGCTCCTGCTGCTCCTGCTGCTCACTGCTGCTCGCTGCTGCTCTCCTGCTGCTCCTGCTGCTCCTCCTCCTCCTCCTCCTCCTCCTCCTCCTCCTCCTGTTTCGCCTTCTCCTTCTCCTCCTCCTCCTCCTCCTCCTCCTCCTTCTCCTCCTCATCCTCCTCCCAGCGCACGCCAGGGGCATGCGGCCCTGCACGCGCGCGCGCGAGCTGGCGAGGTGCCGCCCACGCCTCGCCATCCGGCGGGGTCGAGCTCGAATTCGGGCCCTCCCATCTCGGGGTGGCGGGCACGCCGCCCCGAGGAAAGGGAGGAGGAGGAGGAGGCGTAGGAGGAGGAGGAGGAG